ACAATGAACAGGATTGACTGGAAAAGGAAGAGGCACTGACTTTTGACTGGAATGGGGGCATTGTGTGCATGTGTTACTCGAATCCTGTCATTGCAGGAGCCATAAACAAGTGAGGGTTTCCATGGTTTTGGCTGAGAAGGAAACAAATGAAGGCAGCCAACTGTTACATAGAAGGCAAAGTTGATGAGGAAGAGGAGGCTCAGTTTACAGATGGCAAGACCAATAACAAAGATGGGGATAGTGAAGGGGAAGGTAATGAGGAAGGTGAGGAGGAGGACAAGGCAGTATTCACCAATGGTGATGTCAAACCTGAAGAGAATGACCAGGAACAAGAAGAACAACAAGAACAACAAGAAGAAGCAGAATTCACCAATGAGGAGGAAGATGACAATCAATACTATCCCAGCATCAGGAATCCATTGAATCCCAACCCCATGGACACCCAGTCCCACAGGACCTCCAGGTTCAAGTGCAGCAAACTGGAGGCATACACATCACACAGAAGCTGCAAGGTCACACATGTTACCTGGAGGTAACACTAGTTACTCTCCTCAGAACACTGGTGCCTTGGCTGTGTGGGCAGATTTACCATGGTGTGTGTTTACACCATAAAGCCAGCCCAAGAAGAATAAAAACAGCCCACCTTCAATCACCTCCATGAAATTGCCTCTACCACTTCACCCCCTTTTTCTACCTATTGCCATGCAACACCTGTGCTCAGGATTGGGCCAATTGCCATGTGGCCAGAGTGTTGCAGGTGGTGACAGACCTGTGCAATGGGAATGTTAGCGTGGCCACTCAGCAAGTGCAGGCCCCCTCTGGTACAACATCATCAAAGGGGACCCTGGGCTTCTACCACAGCATCCCCACTTGATCTGTAGACAAGTTGCTGCAGCACATGGGTTTTAGTGCAGCCTCTTAAAGGAGACTTTAAGAAGGCAGCAGTGGGCTCAATAAAAGACCGATTAAACTAACTAACAGCTGAACTCCTCCTCACTGGCCATCAAGTCCCGTCTCAGCCTCTGTACACCTTTGGCGATGACAACTTATAGAGTATAATGGAAACCATCCGATGTTGATCTACGCTTATGAAGTGTTCGAGGGTGAAGGCCACTGACCGGTGCCGCGCAGGTGAGGAAGGGTTGCCAACAGGCCAGCACGCTTCTTCTCGATGAACGTCTTGACGTCGAACAGGAAAGGCTTCGACTCGCCAAAGTTGATCGTCGGCACATCGCAACCCCCACCACCACCACCTGCAGCAGCAGCACTGGTCATCAACACGACACGAACACCAACAACTAGAGCAACAGAACAAAAAGAAGAAAGGATTGGAGCACGAATGGGAGGTACCGACTGCGGGGTAGATATCCTTCCGGTCCAGCTTGCATTCGCACAGGAACACGTCGGTGGTGTGGGGCTCGTCACGCGTGGGGTTACGCACGAAGAACACCTGGTCGCTATCCCAGTCAACACCACAGCCGATCACCTCGCCCTCGGTCACCTCCCTGTGATTTCGGCTCCAGAACTACATGTGTATAAGTGTATGTGTGTGTCCACACACTAATCACAAACATTAAGGCTATCACATGCACCACCACGCCCTGATTAGAGCGGAGAAGTACTGTTGTGCTGGGGAACTTGTTGTGTAGGAAGAAGGGGTGTGAGGGGCTGGAGAGGGCCACGAATAGGCTGCAGCTACTAAAGGCCTGGGAGACGCCCACCGCATACGGCGATACGGACCCCGGCTGGTTGCACACCACCGTCACCTCGAAGTAGTCCACGCCCCGAAACAGGACCGTCGACAGGAATTCGGTTTCCATCGAAGCGAGGTGCTCCGGTGTAACTTGTTTGGCGTGTTGCCTCCGAGCCACCGCGCCAAAGGCCTCGGCCAGTGTCTCGCGGCTCGTGCACACAAACGGGTGCGTCGAGAGGCGGCGATCGTCCCCGCGGTTGATGGTGAGCATGCAG